GTCTGGGAGACAGTAATGGTGAAGCTGGAGGGTTTTGTCCAGGTAGTCGGGAAATTTTACGCAGGAGGGAATGCATATAAATGACCTCATGGGAGACAGGAGCTGGAAGTGGGGAAAAAAAGTGTAGTCAAAGATAAAAATAAAAACCCAAAATTGCAAATAGTAATACCACAGGAAATAGCAAACAAGAGGACTCCACTAGCAATAGTGAGGATATATTACCAAAAACAACTGGTGAGAGCTACATTGTTGGTGGGTAGTGGGATAGGAATAAGACAGGTAAAAATTTCACCAACAGGGAAACAGTCACAGAAACCCAAGGCAAAGGGGAAAACCCAAACCTGTGCACATACTCTGCACTTGGTATCTGCAGGCATGGGAAATCTGGAAAAAACAGATGGGATGTGCAACTATGACCACCCTAGAAAATGCCGTGCCCCTATGACAACAGGAAAATGCAAAACTCCCTTCCTGTAAGCTTTTTCACCTGAAATGTGTACCTCTTCAGTACAGGAAAAACTGTGCTATAACTTAAATTGCCAGGAATGCCCTCTAAGGGGACAAAAAGATACAAAACATCAAGGCCATGGGAAAACCTGGGTAGCCACAGCCACTCAAGAGGAGAGGTTTTTTAGTGCCAGGGAAAGAAAAAAAACCCTGGCAGGAAATGGCAGAAATCGTACACCATCCAGTCATTCCTGGAGTGGAACCAAAGTTGATGGCCTCCACTCCAAACCACAGATACAGAAAACTAATGCGGGAAAAAAAAAATCCCCCCCCCAGTACCAACAATACCACCAGTCCGATGAATTCTTCTTTTCAAAATTACAGGGGTCTAAAGCCCGCAACAAAACAACAAAATACCTTTCATCCGTGGACTGCTTGCAGGGCATATGCAATGTTCACGGCTTTCACCGAGACCCACATAAAGGATCACCCTTTGGGCAAAGAAATATGGATCCCAGGTTACAACCTATACAAATGCGACAGAGTGAAAAGGCAAAAGGGGGGGGGGGGGGGTTGGCCCGTACATCGCAGAGTCACTTGTTTGCACAGAACTGCTTAATGCCTCAAATGATGTAGTGGAAGTTTTAGCAGTAGAGATCGAGAACCAAAACCTAGTCATTGTGGAAGTCTATAAGCCTCCGGGTGCAACATCCCAACAATTCCAGGAACAACTGTTAAAAATTGACCACTGTCTGGAAAATCTGCCAGCTCCTGCCCCTAACATCTTGCTCCTGGGGGATTTAAACTTAAGGCACCTAAAATGGAGGTATATAGCAAATAATGTTGCAGTGACAACACCAGGAGGCAGCTCTGATGAGAACTCACACACACACGAGCTTTTAAATCTCTGCACAAAATTCAATTTAAACCAGCAAATAATAGAACCTACTAGACTGGAAAATACACTAGACCTCATCTTTACTAACAATGATGATCTGATACGAAATGTCACCATATCAAAAACAATATACTCAGATCACAACATAATTGAGGTTCAGACATGTATGCACGGAGCCCCAGACCGACATAATGAGATTAGTCACGAGGGAGCATTCACCAAATTCAACTTCAATAACAAAAAAAATAAAGTGGGACCCCAAATAAACCAAGTCCTAACCCATATAAGTGGGAAGATAGGACTAAGCAACACAGACCCAACTTATGGCTAGAACAGATTAACTCGGTGGCACTCGATGTATGCACAAGGCTTATTCCTCTAAGAAAAAGGAGGAGTAGATATAGAAAGAGACAGGCGCTCCCATTACAGGCGACGGAAAAGAATAACAGAGCGGCTAAAAGAGGTCAATATATCTGAAATGCGTAGGGAGTCAATGGTCAGAGAAATAGCAAGCATCGAACTTAAGCTAAAGGAATCTTATAGGAGTCAGGAATTGCGGGAAGAACTAAAAGCCATAAATGAAATCGAAAGAAACCCAAAGTATTTCTTCTCCTATGCCAAATCAAAGTCGAAAACAACGTCCAGTATTGGACCCCTACTTAAACAAGATGGGTCCTACACAGATGACAGCAAGGAAATGAGTGAGCTACTCAAGTCCCAACATGACTCAGTTTTTCGAAAGCCGCTAACCAGACTGAGAGTCGAAGATCAAAATGAATTTTTTATGAGAGAGCCACAAAATTTGGTTAACACAAGCCTATCTGATGTTATCCTGACGCCAAATGACTTCGAACAGGCGATAAATGACATGCCCATGCACTCTGTCCCAGGGCCAGATTCATGGAACTCCGTGTTCATCAAGAACTGCAAGAAGCCCCTATCACGAGCTTTTACCATCCTATGGAGAGGGAGCATGGACACGGGGTCGCCCCACAGTTACTAAAAACAACAGACATAGCCCCACTCCACAAAGGGGGCAGTAAAGCAACAGCAAAGAACTACAGACCGATAGCACTAGAATCCCATATCATAAAAATCTTTGAAAGGGTCCTAAGAAGCAAGATCACCACCCATCTAGAAACCCATCAATTACACAACCCAGGGCAAAATGGGTTTAGAACAGGTCGCTCCTGTCTGTCTCAACTATTGGATCACTACGACAAGGTCCTAGATGCACTAGAAGACAAAAAGAATGCAGATGTAATATATACAGATTTTGCAAAAGCCTTCGACAAGTGTGACCATGGCATAATAGCGCACAAAATGCGTGCTAAAGGAATAACAGGAAAAGTTGGTCGATGGATCTATAATTTCCTCACTAACAGAACACAGAGAGTAGTAGTCAACAGAGTAAAGTCCGAGGCAGCTAGGGTGAAAAGCTCTGTTCCGCAAGGCACAGTACTAGCTCCCATCTTGTTCCTCATCCTCATATCTGACATAGACAAGGATGTCAGCCACAGCACCGTGTCTTCCTTTGCAGATGACACCCGAATCTGCATGACAGTGTCTTCCATTGCAGACACTGCAAGGCTCCAGGCGGACATCAACCAAATCTTTCAGTGGGCCGCAGAAAACAATATGAAGTTCAACGATGAGAAATTTCAATTACTCAGATATGGTAAGCACGAGGAAATTAAATCTTCATCAGAGTACAAAACAAATTCTGGCCACAAAATAGAGCGAAACACCAACGTCAAAGACCTGGGAGTGATCATGTTGGAGGATCTCACCTTCAAGGACCATAACATTGTATCAATTGCATCTGCTAGTAAAATGACAGGATGGATAATGAGAACCTTCAAAACGAGGGATGCCAAGCCCATGATGACACTCTTCAGGTCACTTGTTCTATCTAGGCTGGAATATTGCTGCACACTAACAGCACCTTTCAAGGCAGGTGAAATTGCTGACCTAGAAAATGTACAGAGAACCTTCACGGCGCGCATAACGGAGATAAAACACCTCAATTACTGGGAGCGCTTGAGGTTCCTGAACCTGTATTCCCTAGAACGCAGGCGGGAGAGATACATGATTATATACACCTGGAAAATCCTAGAGGGACTAGTACCGAACTTGCACACGAAAATCACTCACTACGAAAGCAAAAGACTTGGCAGACGATGCAACATCCCCCCAATGAAAAGCAGGGGTGTCACTAGCACGTTAAGAGACCATACAATAAGTGTCAGGGGCCCGAGACTGTTCAACTGCCTCCCAGCATACATAAGGAGGATTACCAACAGACCCCTGGCAGTCTTCAAGCTGGCACTGGACAAGCACCTAAAGTCGGTACCTGACCAGCCGGGCTGTGGCTCGTACGTTGGTTTGCGTTCAGCCATCAGTAACAGCCTGGTTGATCAGGCTCTGATCCACCGAAAGGCCTGGTCACAGACCGGGCCGCGGGGGCGTTGACCCCCGGAACTCTTTCCAGGTAAACTCCAGGCTAGTAATAATAATAATAATAATCTTTATTTACTACAAGTACATGTACAAGGTATACAGTCTTAGCTGACAACAATGACATACTACTACATAGAAAGCCACTTGTTATGCTGAGCATCTCGGGCAAATTAGGTCAGTGTCCCAGGATGCGACCCACACCAGTCGACTAACACCCAGGTACCCATTTTACTGATGTGGAACATAGACAACAGGTGGAAAGAAACACGCCCAATGTTTCTACTCTGGCTGGGAATCGAACCCAGACCCTCACCGTGTGAAGCGAGAGCGTTAACCACCAGGCCACCAGAGCAGTAGTAGTAATAGTGGTTGTTTTAGTAGAAACAGTAGTAGTAGTAGTAGTGGTAGTGTTAGTAGAAATAGTTGTAGTAATAGTTATAGTGTTAGTAGAAACAGTAGTAGTAATAGTAGTAGTGTTAGTAGAAACAGTAGTAGTAATAGTAGTAGTGTTAGTAGAAGCAGTAGTAGTAATAGTAGTAGTGTTAGTAGACATAGTAGTAGTAATAGTAGTAGAGTTAGTAGAAACAGTAGTAGTAATAGTAGTATTTGTAGAAGCAGTAGTAGTAATAATAGTGGTAGTAATAGTAGAAACAGTATTAGTAGTAGTAATAGTGGTAGTATTAGTAGAAACTATAGTAGTAATAGTTGTAGTATTAGCAGAAACAGTAGTATTAGTAGAAGCAGAGTGATAGTAGTTGTAGTAGTGATAGTAGCAGTGGTAGTAGGAGCAAAAGAAGTAGAAGTAGTAAGAATTATGGAGTTCCTTGACCACGTAGATCATCTAAGAGAGGTAATCATGTTAGTGGTAATCAACTATTTACTACGCAGAATAACCCATACGGTTTAGCACTTTTCACACGTATAATAATAATCACTGTACAAGTAATATGTCTTATCAAAAAATATTACTTTCGCATGTCAATACCTAGAGATTATTACTCTAAATATAAAAATAGCAATGACCATAATTTGTGAATCTGGATAATATTTTAAATATATAAAAGAATTTTAAAAATGTTCCTCAGAAAGTCGGACCAAAGTGTTGTCTTAAGTTTGTTTATGTGCGGGTTATTTGTGTATTGTTCCACACATATTATTATGATTTTTCTTATTCTTTCGAATTGAAACATATCTGTGGTGCGTAATGAATATTTAATGCCATTACTGGGCTTAGGATTACATAACAGAAGGAAATATAGAAGTATTGATCTTTGCATCACCGCCCAGGAAAGTTGTATGTTAGTTATCGTCTGATAACTGTCTGTGCATACCAGTGGTCTTACCTACCTGCAGTTAAATTTTTATTTATGTAAACATAGAAACTTCTGGAATATTTACGCTAATCAGAAGTCATTCATCATTATGGTGTGATCATACCTCTAGAAAAACAACACAAACAATATAGATTTTGGTTAAGGCACTGATTAGGATATTAAGGCTTGTTTATGTCTTCGGCCGTCGTATTGAGCTTCTTGTGTGACAGACGTTCCCGTAGGTCCGCCACGGTCTCCAGCAGCGGCTGCCCATTGGTCTCCGGCAGCAGGAAGACCAGCATACCAGCCAGGACGGCACACAAGCCAAACACCAGCAAGGTTTGCTCCTCAGTCTGTTGAGAGACATATTCGTTATGGTGCGACTCTCAGACTAATATTTTTGCCCTCTCTCACCAAGGCCATGAGTGGAATGGCGAGACTGAGGGTAGGTTGTGGGTAAACAGGAAGAGAGACGTTAGAAAGATTAACGAATAGGATAAGTTTGAGAATCTCCAAGAGCTGAAAAATAGTTATTACAGTTAAAATATATGAATTATGATGAAAGGCTAAAAGCTGGACAATAGGAGGAAGATAGGAGACATAACCGCATATGAGATCATTAAAGCCCATGAATAAATAGAAGGAGGACTTATTCGTGCCTGCGACACGGACAAATGAGGCCACATCTGTAAATTGAGAAGGAAAAATTGAACCAGAGGGATACTAGGAAATTTGTCTATACATAGAGAATGGTTGATCAGTGGACAAAATTACAAAAAGATGTAATAAGTGATTATCTTCAACCAGTGCTAAGTTTAAAAAATATATGTATGAACAGATTACTGAAGACGCCACAACACAAGCATAGTTCTGCTAAGGCTTATTCTGAACCAAAAGTGCTTCTCGGCCACACAGAAGAAAAATGCCAACGAAAGATCAGGTACTCCGACTCAAAAAGGCAATGGGACTTGACACCAAGTGTGCGAGAGGGAGAAAGAGCATTGTCTGAGCCACTTACTGAGAGCTACAAGTCATTAAACACGAGACAGTTACCAGAGATGAAGAAAACAACAAATGTACTACCTATATGCAAAAAAGGAGACGGACAGGAAGCGTCGAACTACAAGCCAATTTTCCTGACATGAATACCTTGCAAGGTAATAGTAAAGATAATCGGAAGGAGAGTGGTGGAACACTTGGAGAAACTTGGTTTCACAAACAGTAACCAGCGAGGATTCACAGATGGTAAATCTTGTCTTGCCAACTTATTGGAATTCTATGAAAAATTAAAGTGAAAAAGAAGAAAGAAGGCTGGGCGAATTGCATTTTCTTAGACTGTATGAAGACACTTGATATAAAAACCCATATGAAATTGGAGTAAAATCTTGGTGCACACAAAATTAACAGAAAACTTACTCCGGTGGATCAAAGAGTATCTCAGAGGCAGGAAGCAAAGAGTGATTGTCCAGGAAGAGACGTCAGTGAGGTGCTGCAGGTATCAGTATTAGGGCCAGTACTACTTCTGGTTTATGTGAATGATATTCTAGATGGGACTGAGTGAGATGTATCCATGTATCATGATTAAAACTGATAAGAAGAATATAAACAGAGGAGGATGGGAAAGGCTGCAAATGGAGCTGGACAAATTTCAAGACTTGTCAGGTAAATAGTTACTTGAATTCAATCCTAGCAAATGCAAAGCCATGAAGTGAAAAAAAGATCGGACAAGGAGTATAGACTCGGGGTACAAAGGCTGCAGATCTCACTCAGATAGAAAGATTTAGATGTGAGCATAGTACCTAGCACATCGCCAGAGGCATACATCAACCTTAGCAATCTATGCTCGTCTCGCAAATCTAAGAGTAGAGTTCAGGAGTCTTAACAAAGAGTCATTCCAGGCACTTTATACAACTTATGTCAGGCGCCTCTTGGAGTATGCAGCACCTGTATGGAGCCCACGTCTGAGGATGCATGTTAAAGAACCGGAGAAAGTGCAGAATTAAGGTAGAAAGGCTTGTTCCTGAGTTAAGGGGCATGAGCTATGAGGAGAGGCTAACGCAACTGAATCTGACGACTCTGGAGGACAGAAGAACAAGGGAAGACATGATCCAAAATATACAAAATACTCAGGGGAACTTATAGGGTAGATAGGGAGAGGGTGTTTCAGAGTGGTGCTCAGGTGCAGATATAGAGTCATTCACTCACCAGGTAGTTTGTAAGGAAGGGAGGCACACAGAAGCCGAGGTGGGCAGCGATTAAACAGGCGGCAGTGCCCCAGGGTCGCAGGGTGGTGGGTAGCAGCTCAGGGGCAAACAGATAGTTGACCTGAAATAAGTAAGTCTTGTGTCAAGCTGGGAGGACCCAGAAGGAAAAGTCGTATATCCTTGCCTCTACTGCAGGAGGACGGGGCTAATACACGCTCAACAACCAAGTTTTTTGTGAATTTATGGGTTTTAAATGTCAAGAAATATTGATTTTTATAGAAGTAGTATTAAAAAACTATTTAAAAAATCGATCCAAAAGTGTTTTATATTGTATTTATAACATAAAATATTATAAAGTTTATTATGGTCAAACTGGGAAAAGTCTTGAACTGAGAAAACAACATAAATATAATATTAGAACTGGACAAGAGTTTAATGCTCTGTTTATTCACGTGAGAAATTTAAACTAACTGATTTTCCAAAGTCCGGGAAGGTTGTGTGAAGTAGGTCAGTGGCTCAAATATAACACAATCAACTTTCATAAAAAAATACTTTTAAAATTATTATAAATATTGCTTTTGGATTATACAAAGTACATCCATTTAAAATTAATAAAATTTGGGTATTTTTAAGACATATTCGACAGGTTAAAAGCTTAAAGCTTGGGTAGAATATAAGCTGTCTGACACTTGTACTGTTGCCTAAGCTGTATGAAATGTCCTTGACCACCTCACCCACATCATCATAAAGGGTCACGTGTTGTATGTTGACCGTCAGGTGTTGTATGTTGACCGTCAGGTGTTATATGTTGACCGTCAGGTGTTGTATGTTGACCGTCAGGTGTTGTATGTTGACCGTCAGGTGTTGTATGTTGATCGTCAGGTGTTGTATGTTGACCGTCAGGTGTTGTATGTTGACCGTCAGGTGTTGTATGTTGATCGTCAGGTGTTGTATGTGACCGTTCAGGTGATGTATGTGACCGTCAGGTGTTGTAAGTTGACCGTCAGGTGTTGTATGTTGTCGTCAGGTGTTGTATGTTGACCGTCAGGTGTTGTATGTTGACCGTCAGGTGTTGTATGTTGACCGTCAGGTGTTGTATGTTGACCGTCAGGTGTTTCATGTTGATCGTCAGGTGTTGTATGTTGATCGTAAGGTGTTGTATTGTTGACCGTCAGGTGTTGTATGTTGACGTCAGGTGTTGTATGTTGTATCGTAAGGTGTCTGTATTGTGATTCGTCGGTGTTGTATGTTGATCGTCAGGTGTTGTATGTTGACCGTCAGGTGTTGTATGTGATCGTCAGGTGTGTATGTTGATCGTCAGTGTTGTATGTTGATCGATCAGGTGTTTGTATGTTGATCGTCAGGTGTTGTATGTTGATCGTAGGTGTTGTAAGTTGATCGTCAGGTGTTGTAGTTGAATCTTCAGGTGTTGTATGTTGACCGTCAGGTGTTGTATGTTGCGTAGGTGTTGTCTGTTGTGCCGTCAGGTGTTGTATTGTTGATGTCGTCGGTGTTGTATGTTGACCGTCAGGTTTTGTATGTTGATCGTTCAGATGTTTGTATGTTGACCGTTCAGGTGTTGTATGTTGACCGTCAGGTGTTGTATGTTGACCGTCAGGTGTTGTATGTTGACCGTCAGGTGTTGTATGTTGACCGTCAGGTGTTGTATGTTGACCGTCAGGTGTTGTATGTTGACCGTCAGGTGTTGTATGTTGACCGTCAGGTGTTGTATGTTGATCGTCAGGTGTTGTATGTTGACCGTCAGGTGTTGTATGTTGACCGTCAGGTGTTGTATGTTGATCGTCAGGTGTTGTATGTTGACCGTCAGGTGTTGTATGTTGACCGTCAGGTTTGTTTTTAATTTTGTTGACCGTCAGGTGTTGTATCGTATCCAATCGTCAGGTGTTATGTTGACCGTCAGGTGGTGATGTTGACGTAGGTTGTTGTATGTTGATGTCCAGGTGTTGTATGTTGACCGTCAGAGTGTTGTATTGTTGACCGTCAGGTGTTGTATGTTGACAGTAGGTGTTGCTTGTTGACCGTCAGGTGTTGTATGTTGATCGTCAGGTGTTGTATGTTGATCGTCAGGTGTTGTATGTTGATCGTCAGGTGTTGTATGTTGATCGTCAGGTGTTGCATGTTGACCGTCAGGTGTTGTATGTTGAATCGTCAGGTGTTGTATGTTGACGTCAGGGTTGTATGTTGATCGTCAGGTGTTGTATGTTGATGTAGGTGTTGTTATGTTTGACCGTCAGGTGTTGTATGTTGATCGTCAGGTGTTGTATGTAGATCGTCAGGTGTTGTATGTTGAATCGTCAGGTGTTGTAAGTTGACGTCAGGTGTTGTTGTTGACCGTCAGGTGTTGTATGTTGACCGTCAGGTGTTGTATGTTGATCGTCAGGTGTTGTATGTTGACCGTCACGTGTTGTATGTTGATCGTCAGGTGTTGTATGTTGATCGTCAGGTGTTGTATGTTGATCGTCACGTGTTGTATGTTGATCGTCAGGTGGTTGTTTTGATGTCAGGTGTGTATGTTGATCGTCAGGTGTTGTATGTTGATCGTCAGGTGTTGTATGTTGATCGTCAGGTGTTGTATGTTGATCGTCAGGTGTTGTATGTTGATCGTCAGGTGTTGTATGTTGACCGTCAGGTGTTGTATGTTGATCGTCAGGTGTTGTATGTTGACCGTCACGTGTTGTATGTTGATCGTCAGGTGTTGTATGTTGATCGTCAGGTGTTGTATGTTGATCGTCACGTGTTGTATGTTGATCGTCAGGTGTTGTATGTTGATCGTCAGGTGTTGTTGTTGATCGTCGGTTGTTGTAGGTTGATCGTCAGGTGTTGGTATGTGATCGTCAGGTGTTGTGTTGATCGTCAGGTGTTGTATGGTTGACCGTCAGGTGTTGTATGTTTGACGTCAGGTGTTGTAGTTGATCGTCAGGTGTTGTATGTTGGACCGTAAGTGTTGTATGGTTGATCGTCAGGTGTTGTATGTTGATCGTCAGGAGTTCGTATGTTGATCGTCAGGTGTTGGTATGTTGATCGTAGGTGTTGTATGTTGATCGTCAGGTGTTGTATGTTGATCGTCAGGTGTTGCATGTTGATCGTCAGGTGTTGTATGTTGATCGTCAGGTGTTGTATGTTGATCGTCAGGTGTTGTATGTTGATCGTCAGGTGTTGTATGTTGATCGTCAGGTGTTGTATGTTGTTCGTCAGGTGTTGCACATGTTGATCGGCAGGTGTTGTTATGTTGATCGTCAGGAAGTGTTGTATGTTTGATGTCAGGTGTTGTATGTTGAATCGTCAGGTGTTGTATGTTGATCGTCAGGGCGCTGTTGCATGTTGATCGTTCAGGTGTTGTATGTTGATCGTCAGGTGTTGTAAGTTGATCGTAGGTATGTTGTATGTTGGACCGTCAGGTGTTGTTATGTTGATGTCAGGGTGTTGTATGTGTTTCTCAGGTGTTGTATGTTGATCGTCAGGTGTTGTATGTTGATCGTCAGGTGTTGTATGTTGATCGTCAGGTGTTGTATGTTGATCGTCAGGTGTTGTATGTTGATCGTCAGGTGTTGTATGTTGATCGTCAGGTGTTGTATGTTGATCGTCAGGTGTTGTATGTTCATCGTCAGGTGTTGTATGTTGATCGTCAGGTGTTGTATGTTGATCGTCAGGTGTTGCATGTTGATCGTCAGGTGTTGTATGTTGACCGTCAGGTGTTGTTGTTGACCGTCAGGTGAGTTGTAAGTTGACCTCAGGTGGTTGTATGTGATCGTCAGGTGTTGTCTGTTGATGTCAGGGTGTTGTATGTTGACCGTCAGGTGTTGAGTTGATCGTCAGGTGTTGTATTTGACCGTCAGGTGTTGTATGTGACCGTCAGGTGTTTGTATGTTTGACCGTCAGTTGTTGTATGTGACCGTAGGTGTTGTTTGTTGACCGTTCAGGTGTTGTATGTGGACCCTAGGTGTTGTTATGTTTCCGTCTGGTGTTGATGTGATCGTCAGGTGTTGTATGTTGACCGTCAGGTTGTTGTATGTTGGGACCGTCAGGAGTTGTATGTTGACCGTCAGGTGTGTATGTTGACGTCATGTGTTGGATGTTGACCGTCAGGTATTGTATGTTGACGTCAGGTGTTTGTATGTTGATCGTCAGGTGTTGTATGTGACCGTCAGGTGTGTATGTTGACCGTCAGTGTTGTTGTTGACCGTCAGGTGTTGTATGTTGGACCGTCAGGTATTGTATGTTGAACGTCAGGTGTTTGGTTATGTTGACCGTCAGGGGTAGTATGTTGATCGTCAGGTGTTGTATGTTGACCGTCAGGTCGTTGTATGTTGACCGTCAGGTGTATGTATGTTGATCGTCTGGTGTTGTTTGTTGACCGTCAGGTGTTGTATGTTGACGTCAGGTGTTGATGTGACCGTCAGGTGTTGTATGTTGATCGTTCAGGTGTTGTATGATGACCGTCAGGTGTATGTTGTATGTTGACTCGTTCAGGTGTTGTATGTGATCGTCAGGTGTTGCATGTTGATCGTAGGTGTTGTATGTTGATGTCAGGTGTTGTATGTTGACCGTCAGGTGTTGTATGTTGACCGTCAGGGCTGTATGTTGACGTAAGGTGTGTTGTATGTTGACCGTCGGTGTTGTATGTTGACCGTCAGGTGTTGTATGTTGATCGTCTGGTGTTGTTATGTTGACAGTCAGGTGTTGTATGTTGACGTCAGTGTTGTATGTTGACCGTTCAGGTGTTGGTATGTTGATCGTCAGGTGTTGTATGTTGACTGTCAGGTGTTGTATGTTGACCCGTTCAGGTGTTGTTATGTTGAATCGTCAGGTGTTGTATGTTGACCGTTCAGGTGTGTAGTTGACCGTAGGTGTTGTATGTTGAACCGTAGGTTGTTGTATGTTGACCGATCAGGTGTTGTTGTTGACGTTCAGGTGTTGTATGGTGACCGTCAGGTGTTGTTTGTTGGACCGTCAGTGTGTTTTTTTTTTAAAATCTCTTAATGCCCTTTCTGCTGTTCTGTTATTTATACAGTTCCTTGATAATGTGAGAAACAACGAAAACACTTGGGAAGTTCCACTATTTTATGGGAAGTGTGTGTGTGTGTGTGTGTTGTTGTGTGTGTGTGTGTGTGTGTGTGTGTCGTGTGTGTGTGTGGGTGTGCTGTGTGTGTGTACGTGTGTGATGTGTGTGTGTGTGTGTGTGCGTGTGTTTTGTGTGGTGTGTATGTGTGTGTGTGTGTGTGGTGTGTGTG